AATGAGAAAAAACAAATTTTTCGGTTTGAAAAAAAACTAAACCGAAAGAAGAAAGGAAGAAAATTTTTTTTTCAGTTTGAAAAAAAAAATGAAAAATTTAAAATTATTAATCAAAAAAAAAAATTCTAAAATTTCATTAACTGATGTATCATGAAGCTGATCTTTATGAAAAGATCAGGTGGAGGCATGTCATCATTCACAAAAATTAAAAATCAGTTTTGATCAGTTTGATTAATCGGTTTAAACTGGTTTGAAATAACCGGTTAATCAGTTTAAACCGGTTTGAAATAACTGGTTAATCGGTTTAAACTGGTTTGAAATAACTGGTTAATCGGTTTAAACCGGTTTGAATATAACCGGTTAACCGAATTGTAAACCGGTTAAATTTCGAATTGGTTAAACCTGGTTATAAATCCAATAACCGATTCCGGTTCTAACCTCTATTCTAGACTCATTGGTGAAATTTTTGTAACTAAAAAAAAGTCAAAAACTTTTTATTAGGTTACACAATTAGTTCTGACTGGAATTATAATTTGGCCAGAATTATGTGGTAAAAATCAACTCTTAAAATTATATATATTAATCACGTGATCTGATCGTCAAAATAAATATGATGACGTGAAATGTTTTTGTTTATGTTTATGTTTTTTTAACCTTTTAACTTTTCTTCAACTTTCTTTTAAAATATCAGGTAAGAAAAACTTGTGTTCTTTATCTTTTTATTTTCCTAACTTTTTACATTTTAATGTTACTAACTTGCTTTCTTCACTAACTTCATACTTTTTTTTTATTACTAACACTAATAATTTACTTTTTAACACACTAATTTGCTTTCTTCACTAACTTCATACTTTTTTATTACTAACACTAATAATTTACTTTTTAACACTACTAATTTGCTTTCTTCACAGACTTCATACTTTTTTATTTAATACTAATAATTTACTTACACTAATAATTTACTTTCTTCTTTGATACTACTAATTTACTTTCATGTTATTAACATACTTTATTTTATTTTATTTTCTTACAAATTTTTATATTTATGATTATATCAAATTTAGTATTTTATTTATGAAATATTGTGTATATTTTTTATATTTTAAGTCAATAAAAATTCATAATTTCACTTTACAAATTGCCTGTTATTACTGTAAAATTTAACCTATATTTCCTAAAATATGGCCTAAAATTTGGCTCAAAAATCACACAATAATTGTATAAATTCAGGTCAAAAATAGGATAATTATTGAATGAATTACCATGCAATAATTGTGTGATTTATTGCAATTTTTAGCACAATTATTGTATGGTTAAATATATAGAAATCGTAGTGAATTTAATTGAATGATTTTTCAACAAAAATCACACAGACTTTTTTCATAGGGTAGCTATATTAACTTTATTTTTCTCTGTAGTCTTCGAGGAGATTAGTGATGATGATAAGGCATTCGAACATTGTATGGAAGACATTATCTTAAAGCTTTCGAACGTGGAAACTATGACCGATGCTAATGAGATGACGCGCTGTGAATTTATTACATGCATCCATCGCTATAGCTAAAAAACTCACCTCTCAAGATATATTTATAGTTTTGCAGAAAGACGTTTCTGGTGAAGATGCTACTGGCCGAGTAGACTACACGATCAAAAGTCTAGAGGATTTTCTTTGCATCACCGAAGGGAAACCACGAAATATTAAGATTGAATATGCGCAGGTAGGCCTACTATCCACATTTTCGCTTTCTAACATATTAGAGATATTAATGATGGTTTATCTCTTAAAATCTAGTACAACTTGAAAGCGCATTTCAGACAAATAAAAAGAAATGGACTGCGGATCAAGCATTTGGGAACGACTATTTTGACTATATCTATGGTATTGTGACCACAGGTATGGAGTGGCATTTTATCATATATACTCCTGATGGTATATACTCTACGAGTGGAAGTGAATATTAAATTAATCTCTCGAAGTCCGCCGTTAAAGAAAATTCTGAGCTACTTCGAAACAATGTGAAAAGGGTAATAGGTATAATTATTGGGTTATTAAAAAATCGGGTTAGTGTAGATAGTTCTCCGTTTAGCAAGAGGGCTAGGATCAAAAAAATTATCAAAAAATAATGTGTATTGTGGGCTAGGTCCCGATCTTGTATTTATTTTCACATATATTAATAAAAAATTTTCTTGGCAAAAGTGATCGGCATGAACAATTATTCATGCGCACGTGATTTTTGATCATAAAGATTCTTCACGGTTACACCTATGCACCTATGATACATGAAAGATAATGCATGTTCTGTTTGTTTTTTCTGAATGAGTCAGAACTTGATAAATAAATGCACAGTAATGGTCGATGAACGTGTCCCTTCTTAATGTGCATGGAAATGTATATTCCTTTCTATTTTACAGGCTTTTTCGGAAAGATCCTTTAAAATAAATCTTGTTAAAAATTACCTGGTTTTGTGTTCTCTAGAAGGATTTGTGAATAACGTATAGTGACTTTTTTTTAGTTGATTTATATGTACAGTAACAATTCATCGACCGGTAATTGTTGCTCTGGAATATCTAATAGATCTGAAATTAAATCATCTCAAATACGCGAGCGGTAATTGGTTAAAATCAAAACCCTTTTACATGATTTATGTTAATAGATAAACATTGCGAAAATTTTAGCATAGATACAGAAACGGAATATGTTGGTGGGAATTGGTTAATTATAAAAGCATAGTAAATTAGGCGAAAAATTGGCATTAGAATAGCGGGAAGGAACTCTCATTTTATGGGTTAGGGCTCGAGATGCTTCCTCCCTTTAAACTCGCTACTTCGTTTGTTTTATTACATTTGTTTTTTTAGCTTATCATAAACAATGAAAAAAATTAAAGATTTTTTCAACGTGAAATAAAACTTTTATTATCTTTAGTTATTCTATTATGTATATATTGTTTCCAGAATATTTATCTATGTCCTTTTTGATTCCCTTCCCTTCGTCCATATTTCATTTTACATTTACAAACTTTTTTTGGGCCTTCCCCTTCTCCTTTGAGCGCTTTTTTGTTCTTTAGTCTCTTTATCAGATTCGTGATTTGTTTCCTCAATTTTAACGATTTGAGACTGGATATGGTTATTGTTTGTGATTATAATCTTAGGTAAATATCTATTAATATCACTGTTGACATTCCCAAATCCAATTACTACCCGAGTATAATTGGGATTAATTTCATGATTTTTATTTCGCGTTTCTTTAGTTATACATTCTACTGATTCATCTGTCTCACTTCTGTGTGTAATCCATATGAACATTATTTCCAACTTATCCTCAAAATTTGATAAGTTTGGTTTTAAATTTGGCCAGATACTGGAGAAAAACTTTCTCTCAGAATCTGAATGGTTATCCTTATTAAGAGTAATCTGTACTGGGGCAACGTACAATTTATCCTTTGTTTGCAAGATCAGTAATCCATCGATGGCCTCTTGGTTCCAACAGCATGGTAAGTAAAACATACATTTCTCTTCATTCGAAGAAAACTTAATTTTTTTTTCGTTATAAAAAAATTCCATACCACCAGGCTTAAAATTTACACGGTTCGCCATTAATCCATTCCTAAAAATACTAGCAATACACGCCTTTTCAACAAAAGATCCCTTAACTGATGGGTTGTTTTTGAAATCTGCCATGCAACTGATCCATTTTATATCTGTGAATATTTCCATTTCTCTTTTTTCAAAGAGATATTCAACCATGGAACCTCGTACAAGACCACAGACATAATAACAGATATCGTCATCTTTGATGTAAAAGTAACGATGATCATAATCATCATCTCTATAGCCCAGTTTAGGATGTGTATTTGTAATGAATGACGACATTAATCCAACATGACTATGAAAACAGAGAAAGTCAGCATCATATAGATCATATAGTTCACAAAACAAACCAAAAATATATTTACCGATCCCATGTATGTTTATTGCCTAATAGATTTTCCGAATATTCTATCATCGGCTTTTGTATTATTGACTTTAATTTTTGTTTTAGATATGCAAATGCACCTTCAAAATTCTCGTGACTATATTCTAGCAAAAAGTTTAAGAATAGTGGAATTTTGCCTGTGATGTCTTTGATTTGTTCCTTCTCCTGATCATTCATTGCTGGCAAACTATACTTTTTCCACCATTCTTCCATCTCTTCCTAAATAAACATTATATTAATATACAAAAAATTCACCACATAAAGTATCTTAATCTTACCTCATTAAACCCTCCATAAAGCTTGATCTTCAATTCACCAGTTTGCTTTTGCATAAGATAATGTAGTATTGTCTTATTGTTAGCTGAAAAACTCATTATATAATAATGGTAATTGCTCATTTTATTAATTTGTTGTTTAATTTTTAAGCTAAACCCAGTATTATCAAGTTCATCTAAAGCATTCATTTGATCGACAATAAAATATAACTTTTCTTTGAATTGTAATTTTTTACAAAAATCTACGATATTTTCAAAATTTTCACAGGAATTAATTTCATTTATTTTTGCATCATCATCATGATAGGCAAGAAATAAGGCAGACTTGGTATAATCTACTGGGTCTACTGCCAGTTGGCGACAATCGGGAAGAAATACAACACGTCTTCCTGTTCGGAAAAGGAAGCATGCAATTGCTGAAAGAATATGTGACTTGCCATATCCGACAGTACCATAAACAAATAATTTCATATATCCAGTACCAGATCGAAGTTTGTTTATGGTTTCTAAAATGTTTCTGAATTCCTTTCGTCCCATAAAGTTGAAATAACGATTATTGTCAATAGCGAATCTATCTATTGGTAATTTTTCGCCAATGTATGGATATGGTAATGAGAGGAAATTTTTAGGATTTGAGTAAGTAGATTCATTCTCATCAAGTTTCATTATGCCTTCCATGATTTTATGGGCAGTAGAAATTATATTTAAATCTATAAAATAATTTTACATATTAAAATGATGATATTTAGTCTTAGTTGAACCCAAAAAATTACACACCTGCAAATTTTGCTCTTTTACTATTTTGACCTTCATCCAAATCTATCCGCGATCGCTTTCCTTTTTCTGATTGAATAAAAAATATAAGATGTGAGATAACGCGAATTTCTTGTTCGAGAGGTAAACCATTGGGAAACACTTACCAGTGGTGGTGGGCTGAGGCAATTGCACGAGGATGTGGATTGAGGATGTTGATAAGTTTTTTAAATATTTTGAAATTTCGTCTCCTGGTAACATTTTCTCTCCTTTAAGATCTTTTTCAATGTTAATTGTACCAAACGCGTTATCAAGCATCTTCAGCTTATCATTTTCACAGTCGAAAGGAATATTGACTTTCCATAATTTGAGATCGCTTCTGTCAATACTGGAAAGAGTGTTCTTCTTCATCTCATATATAGTATTCCTGAGTATCATAATGCGTTCTGAGGAATCGAACTTAACATAATCAAGTTCCTCTTTAGCAGGAACTTTACCTAGAATGAGATAATATGCCATGGTATACCTGCAAACGTGAAAATTAAAAGTTAAAAACAAGGTTCTAAAAAATAATTTTTCAGTATAACACGAGTAAAAGACTTTTTGGATATAATATTAGACCTAGCAGGTAGGGAATTTTCCTTGAATTTAGTTTATACCTGGAATGGTGAAAGTACTTGAGGTGAAGAATAGTTTGACATTTTGATTATTTATCATATATATATATGTTTCCATAAATGGTTGTTGACTAATTACTACAAACTGTGAGTTAGTACGAACTGAGTCAGCGATGTGTCAGGATCAAAAATACAAAATTGCGAAAAAAAATTTATCAAAAATCAGCCACATCTCACAATGTCACATGAGAGTGCCAATCAAAATAATTCCCAGCTATCAAAGACATTACGCAGTTATGACTGTACATTTGCAAGGAAGCGACTTTGAGCTTGCAGAGCTAATGTCTATTTTTTTTTGTTCTGAAATTTCGAGGGCCTTATTGGGTGGAGAACATAAACTTTTAGTGAGTTTTATACTAAGGTTAATTTATTTCTGACTCTGCTAACTGGCAACCACTTTATTTGATTCAGAATATCAATGTTGGGACAAATGAAAATCGATTATAGTTAATGTAGTATATAGATAGCTTAGATAGCTTAGATGAACGAAACACTGGCAGGCATTAGTATAGAGACTCTATTTTACATTGTAAACCAATATGTATTTTTTTTACATCAATAAATCAATAATTTCGATTGTAGCATTTTGTCACGGTTTTTTTTATCTATACTAACGAAATTTTGAATTAATCCGTTTTATATAAAAAATTATTATTGAACATGCAATCCACTGATTCATTGAGAGAATTAAATGCCAAGCTCTTAGTCGAGATTGCCAAGCTTAGGAAGGAGAATGCTGAGATTCCCGAACTTAAAAAGAAGTTGCTAAAATTTGCTGAGGATGAGGTTGAGAATGTAAGGCTGAAGCAAATTATTGAAGAGAATGCAAGGCGTGATGCTGAGAATGTTGAACTCAAGTCCAGAGTCAGAGAGCTTGAAACTAGACTTGCATTATTAGAACAGGGTTCAGCAGTGAATGAGATGTTATTGTTATTTGGTCAGACACAAAATGGTGACGAAGCGATGCCAACTGTTGACGTACCCAATTCTGTAATAGATCAGCTCAATAATGAAGTAGGATGAGCACCTAGTGATCTTTATGGTAACGATGAGAAAGTGGTCAATTTCTTGGATAAGGCATATAAGAAAAGCATTAGTAATGAAATTAGAGAGAAGAGGCGGGAAAAGAAGCAGAAAGATCAAAAGGCACTCGTAATTTCTCAGGATGTGACTAAAATCCCTGAGGTCATAGACATGTTAACTTCAGAGCAAGACGAGCAAGACTTATCACAATCTTATGAGGCTAATTCTGAGAGCATAAAATCCGCATCTTGCGTCTTATCGAAGCAACCGCAAGTTAATGCATCCAAATTAACATGTAATATTGAAAACCGTGAAGATTCTTCATGATCAGAATCATTTGACATGGAGGAACTTAAATCCGATTTGCATGATGAAGTTATTGCCAAGTTGGATAAAAATATAATTATGGAACAGGAGTTAAAGCAACAGTTATCATCACCTGCACATACATCTACATCAGATCAAACTTTAGAAGAACAGGATCCATCTTTAGATACCGCACAAAATATAGTTTGCATGTTCAGGAAAGCTAATAAGCTTAGTCAAGAAGCAATTTTATACTGGTGCTACTTTATAGAAAAATATAACAAAAGGATTGATAACCTTGTTGTTGGTGGAGTTAAGAAAAAAACTGCAACATCTATAGTATATCAAGAAATCAGGTGTGAATTTGTGACAAAAAATTCTTAGAGCTAGAAAATTATATAAGTTATTCAATACATTAGGAATAGAGAAAATTAAACAGGTCTCTTATAGTGCAGATGCTATTTCGAGCCTCAGTTACCCATAAATACAAAATATTATAGATCATGTGAGTTCAGTGATAAATTCACACAATGAAACCGTGAAGATTCTTCACGATCAGAGTCATGTGACTTCAAAAATTAATCCGACTAATGCATATATTTCTCCAAAAGCTAAGGTAAGTACATCAGAAAATGTATTATCTGCATCCCAATCTAATCCAACTTATAACCGCACCTATTTTCGCAATAAGACGTTGGACCAATATCCTACTTTATATAGAGAATTTAGTAGCGAAAATTTTGATTATTATGGCATTACTGATGAAACATCATGCGAGGACAGGACCCCAGACATCACATATATAACTCACGTTTGAGTTTTAGCAAATTCAATCAAAATTAGGTTAAACTCATAATTTTAAAAAGAGCAAATTGATTGAAAATTAATTAATAGTCATAATTATGAGTTTTAGCAAATTGTATTGATTTTACAAAGTCATATTTTATATTTGAGCAAATTGGTACTTTTTTTTTAAATTTAACTTATCCTTTGTTTTTAACTTTATAAATAATATTTTTAAAAATATTAGTTTCGGGGTCCAGGTCATATTTTGGCCAAAATTAAGCATAATGCAGGCTAAAAACTGTCCGTTTAGTTTTGCAACATTTTATTTTTTAATAATTATTTATTTAATTTATTATTTTTATTAATTATTATTTTATATATAATCTACATATTTTAATTATAAAAATTGGCAGTTTAATTTATATTAATCATTTATTTTTTTATTGATAATAAAAAAAAAGATTATTAACTCATATTTTGAGTTTTAGCAAATTAGTATAGATTTGAAATGTGATAATTTGATTTTTAGCAAATTAGGTCTATTTTAGCAGGAGTAAAAAGTACTTAAATTCATGCAGATCAGTTATGAGTTATATATGTGATGTCTGGGGTTCTGCGGGAACTATATCTGCCCATTATGCAAATTAGGTCATGATGATGAAGAAATAGAAAGTAGATATAAAACTGGTTCCTATTTTATTAAATGTGAACAGTGCGAAATTGAAATAGTTGCATAATCTCATTGCTTTACAATAGTCTGGATAACTCTTTGGGGCGAAATCTTTTTTTCGAACAAATAGGTTTATATGAGAAAAAAGGGATTTAAATTGACTTACAACCATATAAATTAAGATATGTCCAAGACTGATAAAATACTAACCTCTGAATATCTGGATTGGCATGCCAAATTAAGTGGGTTACCAAGCATTTTGATAAGATTCATACCAAATTATACAAAAGATATAAAAAAGAAACTGGATGTGAACCATGGCAATTATCAGAAGCCACAGGTCGAAGAGTGAAAAATCAGGCACCAATCGGTTACCAATCAGGTAGCTGATTGGTGACTGATTGGTGACCGATTGGTGACTGATTGGCATTTTCACCAAATACCGTTACCAATCAGACAGTTTGCTAACTTTTGATCCAGTGATCAGAAAAAGATGAAATATAGCTCATTGGAATCGTCTCAACATGACGAATCTAATGGTAGTAAAATCGGATTTCTAGGATTAATACTTGATGAGAAATTAAGTAAAATATAAAAATAAAAATGTATCATTTATATTTTATTTATTTTTTTTTAACTATCAATCCTAGAGATGCGATTTTACTACCATTAAATTCGTCTTATTGAGACGATTCCAATGAGCTATATTTTATTCTTTTCTGATCACTGGATCAAAAGTTAGCAAACTGCCTGATTGGTGACTGATTGATACCTGATTTTTCACTTTTCAACCTGTGAGCTGTGATAAATACGCCAGCAAAGCCTCAAGCCTCTGATTTCAAGCATATCACTTTCAAAGTCAAACCTGATCAAAAGTTAATTATCAAATCCGTCTTAGAGCATTTCACATACCTGAAATTCCAAAATAGTTTTAGGGGGATTAATAATTATAATTTTGCATCACCTCAGCCATGGAGCTCACCATGCCCTATTTGTGATGAAAAACATGGAAATTATGGATTACATGGTGAATGGTATAGAACAGAATATTGTCTTACTTGCTTCACTTCAAGCAATAAATTCAAGTTCGCGATTGTAGCTTAGACCAGTCATGTAAAATCAGGAAAATTCTTGCTGAAGAATAGGGCTGTGTGCGACGTACAACGGTACGAGTCGCATATACAGTATAAATTTTTTTTTAGGTAAACAGAATTTCGCAACCCAATCTTGCAACTATGTAAATAAGCAAATAAAATAGGTATATTTGCTACATAAGAAAGTTCCAGTGAAAATAATGGAAACAAAACTTACTTAGTGAAATATCGGACAAGACATTACCTAGGGTAGGATACTTTTGGTTTAGACTGAGCATTTGCAAGACAGCTAATACATAGTTTCCCTTTAAGGCTCTCATTAGCGTCACGACCGATAAAATGGAGGTTAGGATGAAAAACAATGAATATAGCAGATTATTGGGTGGTGATAGAATAGACGCAATGAATAGAATAGACTATCATGTATAAAGTGGACCAGCGCCTTTCAACTGTATAATAAGCAAAGTCGCTAATTTGTAATTTATCCAATATATTGCAAATAAAAAATCTCACCTTGATTAACTCTTCGCATATGGATAGCAGAGTAGTAATGAACGAATTGATAAGAATTACCGACCCATTCGGAGCTTTAGTTGTATCTGTTATGCACATAGTTACTCATACTGATGCATTTTCTTAAATGCCTTTCTTTAATATAACGTACTACGTACCAAACATATTCTGATTTTTTTTGTAGTTAAGCTACTTTTAATTGAATAAGTTCCAAGTTTGTCAATTTAGCTATCAATAGCAGATTTAGTTAAGTTTAAAAAGCAGACACAAAACTATTTTTAGTTGATCAATCCCAGTTTTGGTTTTTCATTCTGATTTCTTGTAGTATAGTAGATCCAAATTTAGACTCTATTTCACAAGTAAGCATTTCAATTAAAGTTTCACCAATTTTACCATCAATTTCTTGCTTTCAGATTATAATAATACGTAGTTATTCAAAAGAATGATACATTTTTTGAATTAATAATAAAATTATAATGATATAATGTTAAAATGGATATTTATAAGTTGTCATTTCAACACTTGATCTCAACTTTACTCTTCGTTACCGCTTAATGATATCTAAAAATTTTGAAAATATCAGAAGGATTTTGTTTAATCTACATTAGGCCATGCAAACTTGATTTTTTTGGTTCTCATGACATAGCAATTTTGAAATGACCTGGCAACCAGCTTTTAATTTTTTTTTTTCAAAAAATTATATATATATCTGGTATCACGTGATTTTTTATAATTATAATAAATCGTGTATCAGGCAAAAATCGTGTATTCAAATTACAGACACTTAGCAAATTTTAAAGAACTCAGAAATATTTAAGTTTATATGAAGATTAGTAAATATCCTATAATATTAAGTTGTATATTTCATACGAAAGTATAAAATAATTACCTCAACTTTCTCAAAAGTTAACGCAAAATTTTGTGATATGTCCGAAATTGACAAAATATTTTTTATACAGTTTATTAAAGACTGATGATAAAGAAAATACTCATTATTATTATAATTCATTATACTAGTTTTAGTATAATTTAAATTTGGTAGTTTCATATTATCCATATATTTGCGGCCTTGTTC